GTTTCAATTGAAGCAACAGCTGACTACGTCAAGTAAAGTACGTAACTACATACTAGGTTAAATATGTACGCAGATGGGTGACCGCTGGCAAGAAGACGCACACAGAAAAATTAAATCAAAACACGGACGCATAGTTTGCGGACTAGCAGCAGAAGCAGAAAAAGTAGAAAAGAGAGTGAAAAGTGGGAGCGTGAAAGAAAGTAAATGAAATAAAATTAAAAAAAAACATTAAATACAACTTACATAAATAAATACGTGCATTTTGTTAAAACAACTTAAGTGACTTAAGAAGATTTGAATTTTAATTAAAAATAATAACAAGTTCCCCTTGAAAAGTCGTAAATTTTTATGAAGCTGCTATTAAAAGAGCATTTTAAACTAAATGGCTAGTTAGTTATTTTTTTAAATATTTTTTGACAATCCAAAGAAATATTGCATTAAAGAGAAAAAGGCCCTACCTCGAGATAAGTTCTTTTAACAAAATACCACCGAAATCATTATGCACATCAAAGACATTAAATGGCTTTTTCGTGGCTGTTGAACCAGTTTCGCATTTTCTTAATAACAAATATATATTTATATACCGAAGAGTATTAAGTAATTTGTTCAACCATTTGCCGCGCTTTTGGGCTCAACTCTTACTGCATTTTGATTAATTAATGCACTGCAGCGTAAGGAAGACACCAATATTAATTATATTTAAGATGATTTAAGATTCAAGTTGAGGAGAGTTAAGAGAAAAAAAAAATATTTATTAAACATACAAAAATCAAAGCAGCAATCAGCGAACTTACCGTAAAACAAACACAAATTAATTATGTACGTTGTTTATATGTATGCCGGTGCTGCTGTTGACTGATGCGATCACCTTTTGACTCAAAGGAATTGGAAACGAGTTTGTGTTTCTTTTGCAATTAAAGCCAAACTGCTATTTAGCCAAAAGAAAGTGAAACTTATTGGCTGTAAATTTCTGAAATTTAATCTCACAAACTTTTTTTTTGTTTCGTGGTTTTTTTTCAACTATATTTTCGCTGCCTTGTGCGACCTTCTATTTTCGGTAGAAATCCGGTATGTTAATGAGGCTGTCGTGCGCCGTTTGCTGTTATCGTCATCGAGTGACAGGTTTCTCCTTTTCTGCGTGTTACTAAGTAGTTTCACGGCGAATTCAATGAGTTGTAGTTAGTTATGTGCAGGCATATATTTTCTAATTTTATATGTCTCACAGCATTTTTTTTTCCTTTTTTTGAAGACGCTGTAACTTGATTTTTGTGCTGGTCACACTCAGTCGCCTTTTTACACAATCACGATATTTATTAGTTTGGTATATGAATTTTCTTTTCTTACTTTCATTACTTATAGCAATATTTTTGCTAGTGATTTGCAAAATAAATTTTTTATGTCGAGTGAAATTTTCGCTGTTTTTGTGCTTTTTAGTTGATATTCCGCAGAAAAAATGCAGTTTTAGGAATCTTGCAATTTCAAATGGTGAGTGATTAAACTGTAAAGAGAAAAAATTATAAATAAGCTTTATACAGAAATAAAAAATTTTTACAAAAAAAATCATTAATGAGACAGTCCTATCAGTATTCATGCATATCTAATGTGATGTTTTGAAAAAAAGAGTCATAGAAATCCGATAAGTAATTTGATAGTTTATCCCGAAAAAAGAAGTCGCATTTAAATTTGATAAAATTTTTAAGATAAAATGTTAAAAAATCGTTATGTTTGACTCAAATATTTTGTAATAAAAATATATCTCCTAAACAATTGCCCTTATTTCCTACGCAATTCTCAAATAAAAATTAGAAAAAATCTTCAAAGTAGTTTTCTAGTTTTTCCCGAACGAAAAGTTCGCATTTTGAGCATACATTTTTTTTTATAAATAAATTGTACATGAAGCGAACCTACCTATGCCCTTCTAAAGCTCAAATGTGATGCTTTGAAAAGTCAGTCAATAATATCAGCCCAGTAGTTTGGGACTATATCACGAACAAGGTATTTAAATTTTATTTTCCTCAACAATATTATTGAACATCTTTGTAAACTATTTTATATTTAGCTAACAAATATTTACTATAAAAAATTCATTGAAAAAAGTCCTATGTCCTTCTACAGCTCAAGTGTGATGTTTTGAAAAGCCAGGCATAGAAATCAGTTCAGTAATTTAACCGCACAACGAATTCACATTTTAATAGAGACAGCCGGAGAATGAATGAGGTAACGTCATTCACAGGACGGCGGTGCATGAAGGTGGCGATTGTCATTGACAGCATGTCTATATGTGCAACGTCTGGTCCACCGACTGTGGCGTTTACGTTTAGATCTCTTCTTCTCTTGTTCGGATCTTGTCATCAGTGTAGCTGCTGAACAGCAAATATGGTTCCCTTAGAGAAAGCTTTGAAGATGCGCTATGGAAAACTCTTCAGGAATCTCCGTAAAACAATTCCTGCTTGTAGGGAGTGTGGTGTTTCATGAGCCTGAAGCTTGGTCTACAGCCTTCTACTAGTTAATCACTCTCTAGTCTCTGAGCTTCTAACGGATTGAAGTACAAACATAACGGGTGATTTTTTTGAGGTTAGGATTTTCATGCATTAGTATTT